CCCCCCCCCCCCGCCGCAGGGCGCCCGCCTGGCCCCTCAGGAGCCCCCACACCCCCCGGGAGCGGGAGAAGAGAGACAGAGACCGGCGGGGTCTGACCTGTGTGTGAGGCGACGGCACCCCCCCTCCCGGGGGCGCGGCGCGGTCCCGGCTGCTCCGGGGCGGCACACCCGCTTCCCGCCGCGGGAGCTGCCGGCTCAGGCGCCGGCCTGAGGCCGAGCGAAAGGTGAGGCGCAGCCCGGAGGCGTTACGGCCCCCTCCCCATTGCCGCCGCCATCACCAGGCCCCCCCCTCACGGCGCCTCAATTACCAGCCGCGCCCGCCCCGCCCCGCCCCGCCCGGCCCGGCCCGGCCCAGAGGGGAGGTGCCGCCCTTCGTGCCGCCACTGGGAAGGGTAGTTTGGGAAGCCTTTGGGCTCTCTCATTCCTTCCGAGGGGGGGGGAGGGGGAAGAGAGGCATTCCTTTGTATTTCTTGAGGGGAAAAAAAACCAACCCACCAAACTAACCTCGGGCCTGGTGCTTTTTGTTTTCTAAGCCTTCTCGTGCGGCGGAGTCGCCCCCTGCGTGGCCCCGCTCCGCCAGCCCTTACCCCAACTTCCCCCCCCGTTTTCCCCTCGCCGTGGTAGCGCCGGGGCAGGCCACGCGCAGGCGGCTTCTCGCGGGGAAGCCCGCCCCGGAGCCGAGGCCGGCAGGGCGCGGGGGGGGCGGCGGCGGAGCCGGCGGTCGGTGGGGACCGGCGGGGGGTCCGGCCCTGAGGGGGCGACTTCCCCTTTCCCCGTCTCCGCCTCCAGCGGCGTAAGGGGCTGCCCGGCTTCCCTGCGGCGGCTGCGGGCGGCGGGCCGCGACCTCTAACCATGGACAGGACCGCCGTGGCGAAGATGGGAGCGATGGCGAGCGCCAGCGTGTGCGCCCTGGTGGGCGGCGTGGTGCTGGCCCAGTACATCTTCACCATGAAGAAGAAGACGGGCAGGAAGACCAAGATCATCGAGATGGTACGTGGTGAGAGGCGGGGGAGGGGGGGAACGACGCGGAGAGAGGAGGCCGGCGCCCCTCACGCCCTAATCCCGCTCGGGCCGGCACCTTCTCCGCGGGGCCCGCTCCCCCACGGCCCACCCGCGGGGCGCAGGCCCCTCACAGCCTGCCCTCACAGACCCCTTGCCCGAAGCCGGCCAGCCCCCTCCTTCACCTGCGGGCCCCACAGCTCCTGCTGTCGGCACTTCATGTGCTGGCTGGCGCCAAAAGTTCAGATGGGACTCCCCTCGCCAGGAGTAGGGGGCTGTGCCCACCCCCTGAGGCGATGGGGCAGGGGGGGCTGGCTGTGCCCACCCCCTGAGGCGATGGGGCAGGGGGAGCTGGCTGTGCCCTGTGCCCACCCCCTGAGGCGATGGGGCAGGGGGGCTGGCTGTGGCCACCCCCTGAGCCGATGGGGCAGGGGGGCTGGCTGTGGCCACCCCCTGAGGCGATGGGGCAGGGGGAGCTGGCTGTGCCCTGTGCCCTCCCCCTGAGGCGATGGGGCAGGGGGAGCTGGCTGTGCCCTGTGCCCACCCCCTGAGGTGATGGGACAGGGGGAGCTGGCTGTGCCCTGTGCCCACCCCCCGAGGGGCAGAGGAGAGGTGTCGAGCCCCGTTTCTGCTCATAAAGGCCAGTCACCGGAGGCAGGAGCAGCTATTCCTTCCCCTAGGTATAAAAGTGTCTGCTCCATCCTGTACCGTATTTACGCAAAAAGCTATAGGTGGTCATAATTTAAAAGCTTGTAACTTCTTTAAAAGGCTGGGGCAGGGGGGAAGGGGAGGATGTGTTCAGCCCTTCTCTTGAAACTGGGAAGCAATGTCTGTTCACAGTTACTAGCTGTGCCCACCCCCTGAGGCGATGGGGCAGGGGGGGCTGGCTGTGCCCACCCCCTGAGGCGATGGGGCAGGGGGAACTGGCTGTGCCCACCCTCTGAGGCGATGGGGCAGGGGGAGCTGGCTGTGCCCTGTGCCCACCCCCTGAGGCGATGGGGCAGGGGGAGCTGGCTGTGCCCACCCCCCAAGGCGATGGGGCAGGGGGGGGCTGGCTGTGCCCACCCCCTGAGGCGATGGGGCAGGGGGAGCTGGCTGTGCCCTGTGCCCACCCCCTGAGGCGATGGGGCAGGGGGAGCTGGCTGTGCCCTGTGCCCACCCCCTGAGGCGATGGGGCAGGGGGGCTGGCTGTGGCCACCCCCTGAGCCGATGGGGCAGGGGGGCTGGCTGTGGCCTCCCCCTGAGGCGATGGGGCAGGGGGAGCTGGCTGTGCCCTGTGCCCACCCCCTGAGGTGATGGGACAGGGGGAGCTGGCTGTGCCCTGTGCCCACCCCCCGAGGGGCAGAGGAGAGGTGTCGAGCCCCGTTTCTGCTCATAAAGGCCAGTCACCGGAGGCAGGAGCAGCTATTCCTTCCCCTAGGTATAAAAGTGTCTGCTCCATCCTGTACCGTATTTACGCAAAAAGCTATAGGTGGTCATAATTTAAAAGCTTGTAACTTCTTTAAAAGGCTGGGGCAGGGGGGAAGGGGAGGATGTGTTCAGCCCTTCTCTTGAAACTGGGAAGCAATGTCTGTTCACAGTTACTATAAAAGGAGGAGATCTATCTCTATGCCCTTGTTAATCTTATTAATTAGGGTATTGTAGAAATATCTGCTTATCAGTAACTGGGTGGTAAAATGTCTTGATTTAGACAATATGCTGGTGATGTTGAAATCCTTCAGAATTTGAGTTTGTGTTTTGGACACCACTGTACTGAAGAACTGAACTGAAATCAAGTCACTTGATGTTAGCCAGTGTGTTTTGTGAGCTCCCTTGCAAAATGTTACTAAACGTTCAGATTCGTTTATTTTTTAATTTTGCTGAAAACTAGGATTCTGTGTGTAAATTGTGAGCTATCTAATTCCTCACTTGGACATGTGGTACAACACCTGTCGGTGGAAGCCATACAATGCAATTTGTGATAATGTGGGTCCAGAGAAGAATTCCACTGTGTGTTTTTACTAATCATAAAGTCATCATACTTACTGTTGAAAAAATACTTGAATGTTGTTTCTAGTCATCAGTCACATCATTCAACAATTTGGAGGGGATTGCCTTGCTTTTTTAGTTTCTGTGAGCTCACTTGCAACAGCAGCTTGTGGGAGAGCAGAAAGTTTGGATTGCTACTTTAAAGGGGTTTTAGATCTATTTCTAAAAAAGGGCTCTTGACTCTATAGTAGGATTTTACAAAAGTTATTTGAAAATTTACAGTGGCATAACTATAAATTATTCCTTTTATAAAAAATTCTAGTACTGTAATACTAGAACTTACTTTAGAGTTATGTGGAAAATAAAATAACCTTTAAAAGCCCGATAAAAACACTCAAACAGCAGATCCAATAGTTTCACCAACTCCTATTCACATTATTCCATATGAGCTGTAGTTCAGAAAGTGCCTAATAATTGGTAAAGATGTATTTGTATTAACACTCTGTACGGTGTTTAAATCATGTTTTGGCTGGGAAGACTTTAACTTTTATCTTTGTTGCAAAGATTTTGCCTTTGGTAGGGAAAAAAATCATTACTCCAATGTTAAAATGCTGAATGGTAAGTGAATTTCATGATGTAGTTCAGATAACATTTTCAGAGCCGTGTTCTAGGGCACAGATCTGTGATCCTAAAAAGATACTTCCAGAAATTCTGCTTTTATGATTAGAGCTCTTCTAAACTTTAAATTGCAAGGGAAAAGCTTAAGCTTGTTCAAAGCATGTAAACCTTCTCATAGGGAAATGTTTTACCGATGGGATGCAGGACGTTAATACTACCTGCTCACGTTTCAACCCCTAGTCAAGTTGGCAGCTTCCTCAGCTAACAAACATCTTCAGTTCATTAGCTGCTTTTTCCTTCAACCAGTGTTTTCAGTGGACACATGTAATCAGGCTGTGAAATTTCTTTGAAATAAATGAAACAGTTATGTAAACTTTGTACCAAGGAGTTTAGTTTGTCCAATAAGTGCAAAAATGTGTTAAGTGTTTGTTTTACTTGAATATGCTGCATTCTGGAGAACTTCTGGAAATAGTTTTATCCCCCAATGTAGGTTTGATTCAGCATTTGTGATTTACAAGAGGCTGTATCTGGTTTAGTTTGCCACCAGAGAGACCCTCCTTTGAGCTTTGGGGAGCAGGTGCTGTTTCCAGTCTGTCATTTACTGTTGGGAGGGGTGACAATACTGCTTTATTGAAATGTGTTTTTTCTAATACACCAGTTAATATGCCAGGCTGCTCTTCTGTGCTAGATTAATACTATGGGATTGTTCCTGTATTTTCAGCAGATTTTTTTAGTTCTAGTTTTCTTTGGGGAACATTACACTTTGGTTTTATACCCCCATTAGACTCAGAATCACCTTGATTTATACTTTTTACCAAAATCAGCAGGGAGCAGGCCTATTTACACCTTAGTTGTGTGACTAATTCTCACCAATGAAGTATTCTTTCATTATAACTAACTACAGCAACATTTTTTTTCTTAGTTAAATAAAATCAGATTGATATAAGACCCAAATGTAAGTAAAAAGCTGACTTATAGTAGTGTCTAAATGCTAAAAAGGCCGTGACCATTATAAATTAAATAGAATATCTATAAGACAAGTAAAAAGGGTAAAAATCAGGGGTTATGAAACCAAGAATGTTTAATGTGAAGGAAAGTGGAAAGGATTCTCAAGCATGGAGGAAAGTATAGGAATAACCATGTTTCCTTGTTGAATAATAAAAATCAAGAAATTCTTAAATATCTATCTCACATTTCAGTCGATGAATTCTGTAGCAAAGTAATTAGCCTGGTACACAAATTTAAGCTTAATAAAGACAGCATAAAATTACTGCATCTTTGGAAGTTTGGAATGAAAAAGTATTAATGTTGTGTCTGCATTGACCGTCTGAAGTTTGCAAATGGGGAGTTTCCCTTAGGCACTGAGATGCGTAGAGTTACTTCAGCTCTACTTCTGAAGTAACAGAGGCTTTAGTAGTAAATCTGTAGTCAGTCACGTGAAGTTTTAGACTCTGTGTTAAGAAATAACTATTTCCCAAAGCCTTCTGTATTACTTTGCACAGCCAAATTGCCATTTCTGTGAAACTGTCTATGTATTCCTACAGGTGAAGGTAAAAGTCAGCAAGGTTGCTAACTTTAAGTAAAGAGGTTAATAATTCTTAAAGTAACTTACTAGATAATGTTTGATAGCTGCTTTTAAAAGAGATTAAACCTTACAGTAACACTCAATCTTTTGGATTTGTC